CAATCCTTTTAAAAGAAATCTGGTATCGTTAACCTTTGTATTTCACGAGAAATCAGACGTGGTATCTAGTAGTCAAACATTTTTATGTTTCAAAGAGACAGGTGATGTCTTAACCTCCGCCCCCGGAAGTCACACGAATAGTAACTTTTTCAAAAGCTTTTCAGAGAGAACTGTATTAGCCTAATTTAAGATAAAACAAGAGTGGAGAATAGTATAATTTCATCTCTTTGTTGTGCCAACAAAGCTCCTTACTCTGGGCTGGGGATTTAGCTCAGCGGCACAGCGCCTGCCTAGCAAGCGCGAGGTCGTGAATTCAATTCCCGGTACCGGCAAGGAAAAAAAAAAAGCTCCTTACTCTGTGCATGATCCCCACCTTATGGGAGAAGCCACAAGGGCTTAAAGAGGTGAAGAGAGTCAGGATTTGTACCAGGTTTTTCTGCCACTTAGTCCATCGTTCATCCATCGAGTCACAGGCATTCGTCTCCGTTGTCACGTTGTTTCACATGTTAAATCCTGGACTTCTTCAGAGCTGGGATGCATTTTATTTGTCGCCACATCCCCAGTGCCTCTCAAGAGCGTAGATCTTGGTGTGCAGTCAGAGGGGCTCGTGTATGATTAAAGGAAAAGACAAGCACTCCTTTTTATACTCGTTTAAAAGCTGCTTTTACTCAGCTAAGAGGTTTCTCTCCATGGGAAGGTATATTTTCCCCAAAATAAACTTCAAGTGTGTGTCAATAGCAAAATGCAAGTGGATCAAGAGGCCTTTCTTTTTATTCCTACTCTTCCCACAAAGTGAAAAAAGTTCCTTTGTTACCTAAAATATCTGCGCCAGATCATACAATGCTGTCTCTTAACGCAAGTGGTTATTATTGTGGCTAATTTGGTCACAAGTGTTTGAAGGAGAACAATGCCTCAGAAATTTTTTAAAAGCAAAACAGCAATCTGAAGCATTTGTTGTAATGAGATGTAAATTGCCAACATTGGGGAGTGGAGCCTACTAAAATTTGCAATGGAGTGGGACACCCCCCACCTTAAATTAAAGCATCAGAGGTCCTCCCTCCTGTCTTCAAAGAAATCACATTTTATCTGTTTGTTCGTATTCTTCCTGGTTCTGCAGTGCTAAGCTCCATGCTTTATTGACTGACGCCTTTCTGCATTCATCTGCCATCCTCTGAAACTCTGTCCTCTGCCTGCGTCAGTCCTGGGCACCAGCAGCCTGCTGCATGCATCTCTGAGAAATCCCCACTGCAAGTAGGATGCTGAGGTCCAGAGAGCTAAAGGGACCTGCCTAAGGTTGTGCGGCTGGGATCACACCCAGGTCTGCTGAAAGGTCCCTTGCAAGTTGTGCTTTTGGCTGGTTTTTCTAGTAGCTCTCTTCCCTGAGGATGGGGTGACGACAGCTTTCTGGGTACAAGGCCCTGAGAGCAGGAAGCTGTTGCAGAAAGTGACCACCAGGTGTTAAATGGCGCTCTCTTTGAACGCCAGAGATCCCAGTAGGATAGCCTTGCTGCTTAACAAAGCCCTATGGGTCCCTGAGGAGAGGGGAGGGTGGCCAGCTGCAGATTACAAGGACCTGCTCTGTGCCAGGCCTACTCGAGGCACCCGAGACCGAAGCAGACCTTGGCTGACAGAGTTCACAGTCTAGCACAAACAAAAGCGCACAAGTATAACATGTGCGTTGAAATGGGCAGGCGGGTGCTGATTTACCCGGCACCCACATCATGCCAGACTCTGAAGTAACCATTTCATATACGTGGTCAAATCATTGGCGTTTCAGTTCTGCCAAATTGCTGTTGTTTTTTCTCCATTCGTGTTAGGCAAGAAGGTCGCAGCGGTTAAATTATTATTTATATGGACTTAGCCCCTGAGAGTTGAATTTGAATAAAATGCTGGCCAGACTTTGTTCTCTGACATAAAAACACACCAGCCCTGCTGACCCCAGCCTCACAGTCTAGTTAGAGACAGAAAGAAAAACAAAGGAGAGTACCCCATCAGTCTGGTGGGGTGGGGCAAGTGTCCACAGGGAGAGCGGGCTCTGCTACTCAGGAAGACCGCAACTTGCCTAAACAGTAAGTAGCACACCCCGTGTTTAAACCCCAGTGGTTCTGAGTGAATCCCACGCTACGGGGTTGGGAGAATTATTTACCTCTGTTTGAGGAGACAGGGCAGGGTCGAGGCAAAGTTGGCATTTGAGTCGGACCTTGAATCACTGGAGGAGCTTTAACAAAGAGTGACCCAAGCAAAGCCTCTGAGGCAGGAGAGGATGATATGTGTGGAGAGGGTCAGGCAGGCTGCTGTGATTGGATGAGAGTTTATCTTAACCCCTACACCTCTTGTCCCCACTGTAGTGAGAGGCAGAGCCCCTTGTCTATAACTATAGCCATCTGAACTACCCATTGTCCGTACAGGGTGCTTCTGATTTCTCCTTAGTTTGGATTTCTATTTCTTGGGTTGCAAAAGGTTTATAGACATTGGAGAGAACAGCTTCCCACTCACTCACACCACTGGCTCCGAGCACCCCCAGTCAGCAAAAGGGCTTTGTTCTCACATCTTTGCTCCAGCCTGTTAGAGAGCCACCCCACCCTCACCAACTCGCTCTTCCCTCTCATGGACTGAAGAATTTACTGAGAGTCTGCCACGTGCAGGTACCGCTCTAGGACCCAACATACAAAGGGAGTAAAACTTAGCTCTTAAAGAGCCTTACAGGCTAATGCTGAAAACTGGTCCATGATCACAAGCATCATTTGCTAGAGTATTTGCAGGGTAAAGACCCCTACCTGAGAGCAAGGTCTCACCAAACAGACACGTGAGCTGTCTCTTAAAGTCTGACTGGGTGCTGAGCAGACAGATATGGCAGCCTTCAAGGCCAAAAAACAGCACAGAGGTCTGGGACAACATAAAATCTGGGGAAACTGAGCAGAGGTCAATATGAGGTGGGGAACAAGACGTAACCTGAGAGATAGAGGAGAGACTCGTCCTCCTGGGCCTTAGTGAGGCCATGGTGCGAGACCTTCCTCTGAGGGTAGTGGAGCACCTAAGCAAGGAAAGACAAGTCCCGTGGAAGAGCTCTGTGGCGGCCACTGCGGAGATGGATGGGACAGCGCCATACTGAAGTCATCGTGGATCTTTTCTTTTTTCCAGCAAGCTTCTCCCATGCAAGGAAAAGAAGGCTTTACAGAAAGGACACGATCTTGCCAGAGAAGATGGAGCGGCGGAGGTTGCATGCATCTTCTCTTAGCCCATTCCTTTTCCCTGTCACAAACACAAGAGCAGGAAGAAACCTGAGCCACCAACTCAGCCATGTACCTTAGGGCACACTCCTCAGCTTTTCCCAGCTAGAAGTGCATACCAAACGTCCCCCTTAAATTTGTTCAATTTAAGAAATCCAACCGGACACAACATACAGACAGGAGAAGCTTTAGCATCTGCTTCTGAAACTTTAGAATTATTCGTTCATTGTCGCTACTCTTTTATGCCATTAGTAAACATTCAGAGAGTACTGACTCAGTGTGTGGTGCTGGGGACAAAGGAAAGAGTAAAACCTGCCCCCGGGCCTTGAATAGGTCACACACCACTGGGAGAGACTTTCAGAATCATTATGATACCATTGGTCCTTCACTGTGCCAGTTTCTGCATCTGCAATTCATTTTTCTGTGGTCATATAATTAAAATATGGCAGAACCAAGAATGGGAGTCAAAATCTCTCTGCCAAGATGAAGTGAGCTCTTTCATCTGTGCTGTTCTGCTCCCGAGTCATCTTGTATTGAGATTTGTTCAAAGTTCATACTTAAATCTTTGCAGCATACAGACGTTCTGCTTTGCAGTTTGATATTTTCATCCTGAGGATTTGCAGTAACAAACCCACATACTATCCCTGCCACCACCCAAAGTCTAGGATGTGGTAATAAATGTGGAGTTGCAACCAGATCATTGCACAGGGATTTGGTATATCGACAGCTTTTTATTCAGTTGACTACATATTAGTATGAGAGGTTGGACTCTGAGTCCATTGGTTACTTAAATTATATGCACAGCCATCTGCAGCTCCTGGTCCCCATCAACTCTTTTTTTTTTGGTACCGGGAATTGAACTCAGGACCTTATGCTTGCCAGGCAGGCACTCGTGCCACTGAGCTATATCCCCGCACCCCCCCCAACAACCCTTGAAATGTTTGCATCAGGAGAATTTCCAGCATGCTAAACTCTGCTGGCTTTTGGAGTTATTAGCCCACAAAAATTAATTCAGTCATTTAGCCTTATTTACCCATTTTCATCCTTTTTCTCTGCCCTTTCACAGTTAAGACACAATAGGTGACTTAAAAAATAGTTCATCATTTCAAAAACACCAATGGGGAGAAAAGAATCCTTCCTAGAAACTACTACCATTTACCCAGCTTCCATTCACTCTTTAAACCTCATATAATTTGTGTTGATTGCATTAAAATAAAAATCAGAGTAGTTGTTAGATCAGGCAATCAGGGGTTTAATCTGAACTGTATTTGTAATTTGTCATTTGGAATTTTGTCTAGATTCTAGGTCCTAAGGAGGGAAAGGCCTTTGTATTTCTCTCCATAGCTGTCCTAACCTCCCTTCTGCTAAGGCTCGCTCCACTGCAGGCTGCAGACCTGGGGCTTTCGGCAATTACACAGTTTCTATATTCCAGTAATTTTCACCTCTTTTCCTCCAACACTGTCTGAGTAGAATCTCTTTCCTGTGTAGCAAGTTGCATCTCCTGCCTTGCCATGTAGACAGTGACACCCTAGGAGAGTGTTCCTCACTCATACTCTAATTGAGTCTAGTTCATTCTTGTTTTCCAATTTCCCACCTTCTCCCTAGCGATGTTCATACCTCATATTATTTTCAAGTCTGGGTTTAAGTGTAGTACAACAGACAAAAATAAGCTAGCATTTTTTGGTACCATGTGCTGATAGATGCATAGTAAAATATTTGCTTTTTATTTTCTTTGGAGTTCTAGACAGATCTCTTTTCTTAACTGCCTAGGTCCTGCCATTGACTTGGAAAAAGTAAAGTCAGAATGTCTGGACCCTGAGCCGGAGTTACGGAGCACTTTCAGTGAGGAAGCAAATACGTCGTCCTATTACCCTGCTCCTGCGCCTGTCATGGACAAGTATATCCTAGACAATGGCAAGGTAGTGTTTTAAGCTCAATATCCATTCCCTGCAAGTGTTTGTTAGTCAGAGGCGAGATGGAGAGTATGACGGGAACTTTCTGAAACCCAGCTTGACTGGTCGGCCCCTGCTGAGTCCTGAGTGACTGTTTGTGGAATTCGTATTTTAACCAGTGTAGGCTTATTGGGGTTCTTCCTTGTGTTGCTTCCTATTGGGCCAAAGTGCTGCAAAATGAAATTAACATTCTAAAATAGCTTCATAGTGAGAAAGACTAAACAAGAGAAGATTCCCTTGATAGTCTGATGAAATTTGTGTGACGTTCCTATAAAATAAGGTGCCTAAAGTTCATGAGGTGAACTGGCAATGAAAAACCAGACTTACAGATTATAACTTAGTATACATGCATTCATCACTGACAAATACCCTATGCTGGATACCAGGGATGCCGGGGTGAATAAGACATCTTCCCTGTCCCTAAACTACCTTTATGCTGTGTATTCAGCAGTGGCTAGCCCACAGTCCTAAGGCCACATGTAACCCCTCAGATTGTCTTGTATTACCCTGAAAACAAAACATAAAAGAAAATGTAAGCACTAGCATCATTTCTACTGATTCAGGATGAAAAGTACAAGAATAGCCTTTGGAAGCCTTACAGTGGGTCACATAACAGTATAGTACAGGGCAGGAGAAGAAACTGCTGACATCCACCCAAATGAATTCACCTTTGAAGAAGTCTGTCAGGAACTTTTTTCTAGGCCCTGGTTAAATCGGCTTTAGTGTTACATTCTCCGCTGCTGTGGCACACAGTACATCACCAGCTCCTTCTCCCCAAAGAGTCATCTGTGTCAGTTCATTTTTCTTGCTTTATGCTTCAGAAGGTCTCCATTTATTTGGTGCTCCTCCCTGGTGGGTTGATGAGAAAGAAAAAGTGGTTTGATTTGGGTTTGTCTGGATGTATCCCTGCAGCTGGCCAAGGCAAACCTTGTCAAGCTAAGGAAGTGGAACTTGTTAGTCTTCAGTGTCTTGGATGTGCTGTCATTCCCTGCATCTGGCACTGAGCGCTTCCCCGCCTGCAGAGGCAGGGCAGATGGACCCTGCACTAACATGCTTTCAAAGACAGCTTTGCAGAGGAGAGGGGGCAAACCGTGTGGAAGGAGCAGCCTGAGTCTGAGTTCATGGCATCCCTCTACCTCTATCCTGTCTGAGTGGCCGAGGGCAGATACCTTGCCTATGGGCCTCAGCATCCTTGTCTGTGAAAGGTGATTGGAAATGACACTCTCCATAGCTCTTTTTTTTTTTTTTTTAACTCAAACTCTACATCTAAGTTTTGTGAACGTTCTCCAGCTGAAGATAAAAGAAGAGAGGAGTATTCTGCACTTGTTAATTTTCTTTCAGTCATGACTACACTGTGAAGTCACTGGAGAGTTTTTCCTTAAAGTAGCTTCCAAGAGAAATGTATTTCTCTCTTGCAGTGAAGGGTGATGGACAGTTTCTGAGCAATATAGGGGGCCACTTTTGCAAAGGTAGAATCCTTCCTCAAGAATATGAGTCTTTTAAACCTTATTTAATTTCTTTACACACTAATTAATGCACAGATCTTGAAACTACCTACTGTATTATTTTTAGCAGCATGTTGCTATAAAACTAACCTGGTTTTTGTTTGCAACTAATGTGTAGTCAGGCAGAGAGATTTATTAAGGAAGATAGAAAAAAGCAGACACACTGCAAATGGATGGCAGCTTCCCTCAGAAGCATTTCCCACATCCCAGAAGTAATCCTCATTGTTCTTGGTTCTGCTGTCTTTTCTGACCTTTCTTTCCCTCTGAACAGAGGTCTTAATCTCTCCAAGGGCTAGAGCACTGGAATGAGCTCCATTTCCTAATAGGAAATGAGTTTTGTTCCATAAAACATTTCACAAAGAAATATTTTGATCAATTCCCATCCTACCAGATGGCATATTTTTAATAGCTTCCCCTGACAAATAATGCTAACATTTTGGTCAAGTAGTATGCTGCAGTTTGCATGAATAGGGCCTGCTACACAAGTTACTTTCTAATTCTGATAAAGTGCATTGCTTTTCTTTGTCTAAGATATTTTATCTCAAAAACTCACTGAATCATAAGCCTGCAGAGTCCATTAAAGTTTAAATAGTCTAATTTATACATAATGTGGATCAGGAAACATATCCTAAGAAAGGACTTGTCTACAGTTATATAACACATTCAAGGCAGCCTGGACCTGGAAGCCAGATCTCCTAGTTCCCAGACCAGTAACCTTTTGGTCTATTCTACTGTGTCCCTGAAAGCTGCACATTGCTTCAGGGTATCCTGAGTTTGCTGACCTCAAGAACTCTTATCTCAAAGGCTCCAGCATATACCTACGATTGGTCTTATACAGGGCCATTTCTTTCTGTGCTGTAAAGTCAACACTGTTCTTGGGTGAATGTCAGAAACTATTTTCTTCTCTGAGGAACAGCAGCTCATCAGAACTGAAAATCAGTACCACTGAGACATAGTTGATGTACCCATCAATTGCTTACTGCTTTGTGTTCAGACCAGTCCCGGTGACTTTGTAGGGGACCAGAGAGCAAAGCCTCCACTCGTCCCCTCCAAGGTGAAGGGCTGCATGACGAAAGTTCCAGTGGACTAAAACTCCAGAAGGGATGGAAATTATCCCTGAAGTGCTTGAGTGGTATTTCCTAGATTTCAGGCTGGGCTGGAAATATTAGAAAGCATGGGACATAAAGGAACCATTCATTCCTGGACAGAGCATGGCATGAGCAGAGACACAGGTAGAGGATAAATGCCAAGGCGGTTGTAGTTAGTGGGTGTGCCCTGTCCTTCTGATGTTTAACTCATCTCCTTTAATGCTCAAAACAATTCTATGAATTAGGTGACAATCTGCCTATTGTACAGCTGGAAAACTAAGGCTCAGAGAAGTAAAATGACCAACCCATGGAAACCAGCTGGTAGGTAGAAGAGCCATGATTGCACCCAGGTCTGGCAGTTCCAGAGCAATCCTTTCTCTGTTACAGCATATGGGAGGCAGAGGGCGATTAACTAGAGTGATGGGCACAATGAGGAAGTAAAGGTTAGTGGACAGAATGGAGTGAGATCCCCTTGGGCCTCTAACACCGGGTTTAGGAGGAAGAATCTGACGGGACAGAAATTGAACCATTCAGAATTCCAGGGGTTGACATAAAAAGTTGAAAGACTGCTGAAGTCATCTAGTCGAAGAAGGAAAGCCATGTCTTAGGGAAATTAATTATCAGTGATTACGGCGTGGACTGGGAGGAGAGGCGACTGAAGCAAGAAAGCCAGTCCAGTCCCTGGCCGCCCCCCGGTGTCCCTGCTGGTGGTGGCGAACTGCACAGGAAGTGACTGACAGGTGCAGTGGGAAACACAAAGGGAAAACTGAGCACCGTGTGTTACATCTGCTGTTTCCAACTGCATCAGCATGACTGTGACACTGGTGACAGCAGGGGAGGCTTGGGGAGCATGATTGGGGGCACAGATTTGGGTTTGAATCTCGATTTCAAAATTTACTGATCATGTGTTTTGGAGGAAGTAATTTAGTCCCTACCGATCTCTGTTCTCATCTGTAAAACAGGGAATATTTGCTACCTATTTCTATTTCTAAAGGTCATTGTGAGGATTAAATACATTGAGTTTATTACAGGTACTCCGAAAATAGTAGCGCCCCCTTTCTCTTTTAGAAGGCTGGCTAAAATGAGTGTTTTCTCTCTTTTATGAGTAATAAGTTAAAAGATTACAGGAAAACAAGGCCCTGGGGTAGATAAGTACAGAGATGTTTGGAGCGCTGCACATGTCATCCATCTCTAAAGTCTTCTAATTTAGAATTTAATCTAATTCAAAGGTCCTTTCCTTCCTCCATCACAGGAACCTTGTGTGGGTGGCTTCAGAGTGTCATCAACAGAGGTGCTGCAGGGTCCAGCAGGGAGCAACAGGGAGCTTGTCCTCAGCATGCCTGAGCTGGCAGATTCCCTACTGAAAGGTGCAACAGAGAAAAGGCCAAAGCTTGACCTTGGTGGGCAGCGTTGCCTCCCCAGCCTCAGGCAGCACCTCACACCCCAGGGCTGCTTCTCCTTCTGAGCAGAATGCACTGATTTGCCTAACCGAAGTGTGCAGCAGAGAGGCCAGGTAGATCTGGTTATCTGACACTTGCGAAGGTCTACGTAATCGTTTGAGTCAAAGGAAGTGGAGTGAGATGTGGTGGAAAGATTGCTGGGTTACTCACGGTGGAAGGGTTGCATTCTGTATTTTTTTCTTCTCAGTAGTTGGAAAACCTCATTAATCAGTGAAGGAAGAAGTGTTGCTGGCTGTCCCCTGTCCATATCTGTGCCCACCTCCCTTTCCAAGCCACGCTGAGGCAGGAAGATCTTTAGTCATTTTTGAGCAAGTGGTCTTCTGGTTTGCCCCAGGTTGGGACTGTGTGCACTCCTCCTCAGAGTCAGCTCCTGATCGGGCAGTAGTGACGAGCTGCAGGTCTCTCTGCAAACAAGCACCTTCGGTAGAGCCTTGTGTACCTCCTAGGAACTTCGTCTTGCTAGAGGCCGCCTCTCTTCCATCTCACAGAAGCCATTTCCTCCTTCACAGACTCAGCAGAAGCACACCTAGGGCAATGACAGAGTCAAAACTGTTTTTTAAATGATTGTTAGTAAATGGTTCGCAAGTCATTAAAAGAGTCAGAAAGGAGGACAAAATTTGAAAGCTTATTGATAGAGCATTCTGTGAGCATAGACAGTACGGTAATTTATTGGCTCTGAACTACAGCATTTTGACTGTTTCCCTCAATGAAGACCATGAGATTGTGTTTCTTGTGTTCTCTGTGCGGTCAGAAATAAGCCAGGTACATTTTGTTTGGGTTTAATGTGTTAAACTCATAGGTGTTCTGAGGTATGAGGATGAACTTTGAGCTGAAATCCAATTCTTGTACTTCACAGATTGGAGACTGAAGCTCACAGCGGGGGCGGGGGTGGGTGGGTGGGTTATACAACAACACCCTCATTGGAGGCAGACCCTGGCCAGCTGCTCCGCACTCCAGCTGTCAGTGGTTTTCAAACTGAACTCTGAGTTAGGGTACGGAGGGAGCTTTAAATCATCCTGGTGTGTGGGCCACACTCAAACCAACTAAATCAGAATCTCTGGGGGTGGGGGCAAAACTAGGAATTTCTGCACTTCTTTGCATGCAGCCTCCGTTGTTAGGAGGCTGTATGCCCCGAAATGTTCACATTAGAGAGAGATAGTCTTCCTAGAGCAGTGGTGGCAAACCTATGGAATGCATGTTATTTGTTTTTGCTTTTAAGACAAAAAATGTTAATGTATGAGATTTTTATTTTCTAAACTCAAGCCTCTGGGTTTAATTGCAGCAGTGACACTTTGCCATACTGAAGTGAGTTCAGGGCTGCAGTTTGGGCATCTTCTCTAAAAGGCTCACCGTCACTGTCCTAGAGTGTAATACAGAAAGGAGCCAAGAGTGTGTGTCCTGAGACGTGGTCAGACTCGGCCGCAGCGTCGGGTAACATAAGGAGAGGTTAGATTCTTAGCTCTCGCACTTACAAGTTGAGTGGCTTCTGGCAAGAACTTCCCTTTCCCGAACCTCGATTTTTCATCTGAAATGAAATGGTATCATAATACCTTCTGTCCAAGGTTGCAGTGAAGACTTGAGATAGTAAATATATCACGCTCGAATCGGGTCTGACATACTTCAAGTATTTGGTAAATGATAACTATTTCATTTCTGTGGTTTTTGGTACCTGGAATTGAACTCAGGCAGGTTCTGTGTTGCTGAGCTATATCCCCAGCCCAGTGATAACTATTATACTTACGCTTAAAGAGCGTTAACTTAGCATCTGTAGCAGGAATCCCTTACAGCTGTAAAGCAACACTTTGTAAAGGACAAAAGCAACTTCCTGCTTCCCTTCTCTCAGACTAAACAGGTGTGATGTGCTTGTCCCTCTCAGGTCCATCTGGGAAGCGGGATTTGGGTTGATGAGGAGAAATGGCACCAGCTGCAAGTAACCCAAGGCGATTCCAAGTACACGAAGAACTTGGCAGTCATGATTTGGGGAACAGATGTTCTGAAAAACAGAAGCGTCACAGGAGTCGCCACAAAAAAAAAGAAGGATGCAGTCCCGAAGCCACCCCTCTCACCTCACAAACTAAGCATCGTCAGAGGTAGGTCACTAGGGAGAAACATGATGGCTGAAATATGGGCCTTTACACCAACAAGAATGTATTGGGCACAGTTTCCTTTGGTGGAAGCTGCATGCCAGGCTCTGGGCAGGGCACAGGGATGCAGGAGTGAATATCTCAGGTATCCCTGAAGAGCTCACACTGCACAGGACCGAGGACTGTAGACACGAGTGCAGTTGAGGGAAGTGGCATGTGAGAGCGACAGATAGGTTGCCGGGAGCTCTCAGGAGGGGAGGGTGTCCTTAGCGGAAAAGCAAGGGTAGCAGCCCTGGGGAAGGCTCCTTGAGCCGGCTCCCGGAGCTTCAGACAGAAGATGCAGGTGTGTGGAGAGGTACTCCAAAGGCACAGAGATGAAAAATGAGTATGTGTGTGCAGAGAGCAGCGAAGGCTGGGGACATAATTTCATGATTCTGGCCTTGTGCTTGGAGCAGCTAATGAGATGAAGACCGGCTGATGGTCTCTAGGAGCGGTGTCCTTTCTCGTGTCTGGGAGGACAGGCAAAGAGACAGGGAGTTATCTTTCTACCTAGGGCGTGGCTATGACCCCGACTTCAAGGACTTCCTTTCTCCTTCCCTCCCTTTCCCTTTTCATTCTTTCTTGCCTGCTCGCCTCCTCTTTCTTCCCCGTCACCTCATTTTCTTTCCTTTCATTTTCTTCTTTCTTTTCTCCCATCCTTCCATCCTCTCTTCATCCATTCATTCAGCTCTTATTCTTTGCCAGGCCCTCTACTGGGTTTTGAGGACACAAAGAAGTCTGAGACTCTGTGCGTCTACCAGGAGTTCAGTCTTGTGGTACCGGTGAACGTTAGAGAGCTACTCCCGGTGTCGTTAATGCACAGCGTACTGGTAGAGACATTTCTTGCAGTAGGGAGAGCAGAGAGAATTATTGCTGATTACTTTGAGCACTTACATGCGTCAGGGTCTCCTTTTTTAACACTTTTACATATATTGACTCATTATCCTCTTCCCTATCCTGCTGTTGATTACTGGTATTCCCATTTTACAGATAGGGAAAGTGAGACACACAGGTGTTAGGCCAGATCACACTGCTAGCAGGAGTAGAGCAGGATTCCAAGGTAGCAGGGTTGGGTTTGGCGTGTGCTGCCCAAGTGTCCAGATCCACCATGTTTTGACAAAGAATCTAAGACTCAGAAAGCTCGCATGAATGTTTTGGGCAGACACTGTGGTTTGAGCAGGTTCTAGGGGCAGGCAACAGAAAAGTCTACAGATGAGTCAGATGGTTTCAGGTACCGCGGGCTTCACTGCATCATGTGGTAGGACAAAGAGGACTGCATCGGCTGGAGGGGGTTGGTAAAAAAGGCCTCCTTGAGGAGGTGACATGCAAGCTGTGAGCTAGAGGTGAAAGAGGCAGTCCTGGGAAGGTCTGAGGAGGGGTGAATCAGGCAAAATACATAGCAGAAACAAAGGCCAGCACACTCTAGGCTGACGAAGCTCAAGGGTAAAGTGGCAGGGAGGTGAGTGAGGTGAGGACAGTGGATGAAAGCCAGTCTCTTAGGGCTGTGAAAGCCACAATAAGCCTCTCAGGTTACTCAGCTCACCAGTGGAGAGCTTGAGGGGGAGCGACCACAGGGACAACGATTAGAAGGATGAGGCCTATTCCCCAGGAGAGGTTGTGCTACCACAGACTAAGGGGACGGAAAATAAAGTGGAGAAAAATGGCCAAATTTAGGATACATGACGGAGGTCGTGGTGGAAGGACACAGATAAATTAAGTGACCAACCGAAGGCCACAGCTACAGGCTTTCAGAATCTAGATTCAACCCCTCTCACCCTACACACTCCCTGACTCCGGTCTGTGGCGTTTCCGCTAGAACACAGCTGCCTCCCCTGCCTGGCTCATGATTAATTGGTTTAGGCAGCCACTTACTTTTAGATAATCTGAGAGAACCTTTACTTTGGCTGCTGCCTGTAATAGTGAAGCCTCATTTGGGAGGACTCCTGGAGAAAGAGGCCCTCCTGGGGAAGCAGCCCTGCCTGGCCCACAGGGGCAGACCTCTGAGTCCACTACACCTGTTGGAATGTGACTCAGCAGGTTCCAGGTTGCCCTACCCTTGTCACGTCGCTGTGTAATATCATCTGCTGTTTGTCTGCCCCAAGAACCACGTCTGATTCTTCATGCCTTCATGGCTTAGCACAGTGCCTGGCACGCAGGAGATGAAGGTTGAGCCAAAGAAATACAGAGACCGACGAGCTGATCCCTAATAAACTCTGCTGTGATTTTCCTTTTCTTTGTAAATCACCTCGCCTTCATGTTTAGTTTTAGTTTTCTCTGCCAAAAGTAACTTCTTAAGACTGAAGTGGAGAAATATTCTAGAATACACCTCAGTTCCGTAGCTTGTGGTCGTTACAGACACACTGCCAAGCCCTGTGGGTTTGCCCCCCAGATCTACACTCCCATTTTCTAACCCCTGCATTGCATTTTCCAAACATGGTAGCCCACACCACTATTTAATCTTTAGTCCAAGATTAAATCCAGCGCTCATTTTCCACCTGCCCACCCGCAGAGCTTAACATGGACCGCTCCTTGACTAAGGAAGCCACCTGCTCAGGATTCCTTCCCCTTCAGCTCTCAGTCTCTTCTGTGGAATTTTCTCCCCGTGCCTCTCCCCGGGGCTCCAGCCCTTTCTTTCGTAGGATATCCGGTTTTCCTTGGCTCATCTCACTCCCCATGGATCCATCACCTTTCATGTACTTTGGCCCTTGATTAAGATCTGCACTTGTCTCCCTAACAAGTGCCTACCTAGCCACGTTGGCCTCTGGTGACCACTTTGATCTCATCTCACAAAACGTTTTCCACTTCCCACCATGCATTAGCCAGAAGCCTTCTTCCAGCTTTGTCCTCTTCCCACTGGCTGCAGAGCCTCCTCGTCATTCACAGACATCTTCCCAGCTTCGTCTCAAGTAGCCCCCTATTGCCCTCTGCCACACCACCCTAGTCAATGTCTCTGCATAGCATTGCTTACTTACTTACTTGGAAGTTGTCTTTCTCCCCCACTTCCATTCAAATCTAAGCTCTGTGAGCCTCTTGTGCAGGGCTGCCAATATAGTAAGTACTTTATAAATATTTACAAATATTTTCATGAATGATGACTCCCAAATCTGCATTTGACGTGAGTTCACGACTGTGTTCCTGATCCGCATATCGAGGTGCACACTAGTGATCGCCTCATGGGTGTCTACATGACATCTGCAGAACTATACCATTCTGCTCCTTCCCTTCCCCTTCTTCCTCCTGCTCCTCCATAGAGCCTTGTGCCCCTTCTGTGGTCTCTGCCTTGGTGAATGATACAGCCAGGGACCCAGGCTTCACCTCTGCCTCTCCCACCTGCCTCCTTCTCCATCTGTCCTGCCCCAAAGTACTTCTTAAACCCTCCATTGCTCCCCATAGCTACTGCCCGTAATTCAAGCCAGATGTCTCCTTCCTGCACTACTGCAGCAGCTTCCAGAGGCCTCTCCCCATTGTAGCCAGAGTGATCTTTCAGAATCCAGGTATCTTCCCTTTACCACTGGCCCTTCACAGCTCACTCACAGTATTAATTATTACAGGGTCAGCTTCCTAATACATCATATAAACATCTTCATGGTCTAGCTTCTGGCCATATCTCCAGCTTTATGTTTTAAAAATACCGCCCTTGAAATCTAAGTTGTTCCCAAAATGAACTGCTATTCCCTGAGCAAGCCTGTTCTCCTTCACCTTAAGGAATTCCTAAATGCTCTTCCCGGTGCCTGGAACAGTCACACTGGTCCCCTGTCATTCTCTTTTACTCAGCTGATTGATACTTGCTGCCCAGATCTGCTTGGGGGCACCTCCTTTCAAGGCCATTTCTGACCTTGTAGCCCGCTGGGTGTTTTTGTCATGTGTCCCGAGCGCCAAAACCTACCTCAGTTCTGTCCACTTCTTGCTTACATCCTGGGAGGCTCGTCTGCACTCCTTAGAGCCTATAAACACTTAACTTGCCCTGGATGTGGACGAGAAGAACAGTGACTTGCTCAAGGACATAAAACTAAAGACAGCCAAACTAAAGTGGGGTTTGTCACCAGGAGTATCTAGTCCTACTGAAATACAATTTCTTTGAACCACAAGAAAGTGGATTTGAAGTCTGTGTCCCATCCTGTCGTATGATCACCATGTTTAGCATAATTATTTGTGCTATTTATTCCAGATTTCATTTGGCTGGTTCTTTCCATACAAGCTGTCTGCCTGGACCGAGATTGTTTGTGTTTATTTTGTGTGATTTTATCACAGCTAGTCACATTTGCTGTGAAAAAAATGGCAAGAGCCTTTTGCTCACAGGGTTGAGGAGGATTTCCTCTTCTCTTTGATGTTAAAATCATTCCTTACAGGGTAGCAGAAGGACTGGGCAAACACGGACCCTGCTTTACAAAGATGAAAGAAGGATTGCTGATGCAGTCTTGCTCTAATGACAAACTCCAGAATGACCTTTTGCAGAGTGCCTGAGCTTTCAGAATGAGCCACAGCATTGCATTCTGGTTAATTTTTATAACTTTTTTAATAGGACACATTAGCGCTGTTATAAACCTTGTTAATTAAGCAATAATCTCAAATGCTCCCTCGCAGAGGGAGACATTCCCCGCAACTGCAGGTGATTAATAACTAGAGTCTAACAAAAGCCTTTTAATCAACCTGAGGGCCCATTCAAAGCTGTTACCCTAAGGAAACGAAAGTGATTGGAATTCTGTAGGGGACCCTTGGAAAACCTTCTTCATTTGCACCCTTCTCTTTCTTCCTCTCCTCTGGCTCCTGCTGGTAGTACTGAGGACATCATACCCACCCTCCAGCCTTCTGCTTTTCCCTTACTACCTTTCAGACAACTAGAGAGTTAAAGCTGGAACAATCTTGTTAGGTAATCTGATTTGACATTCCACTCTCATCAATAATGAACCTGAGTCCCAGACATGTTTGCCGTAAAAGTTGCACACCATGTAGGGTTAGAGCACATTTGAGCACCTAACATCTTATCACAATTTATCTTCTTCAGCTGGTGCAGGTTCCAGCAGGGTCCGTGTGAGCGTTTGCTTATTTCAGGTCCAACTTTGGAGGGGGAAAGATCAAGTGTCCTAGGTGGTGGTGGGGGATGATGTGGTTACAGTTTTATGAGATCATGATCAGTGCTTCCATAGGAAACCTCAAGTAGGCGTGAATACACAATGTTGTAGGTAGACTTGTGTCTCTTAATGCAGCCTGCTAGGTTCCAAGAAAGCTGAATCCAGAAGAATGAGCAGGACTTAGGCAGGTAAGGAGTGAAGGCAAGAATATTCTGGGCAGAGAGGAGAAAAGACACCAATTGGTGGGATGGCTTGAGTGCCAATACAGTTGCAGGTGGATGTAACAGAGGTGGTGCTGCAGAGGCAGAGCCCCTACCTTCTCATCCCTCTGACCTATGAAAAGAACAAGATAAGAGGAACTGAGGATTGTGGGTGGGAAGGAAGCAGTGGAGATCAGTTAAAAGGTTTTAGAGGCGCCTCTGTGTGCAGCCCTCTGTCAGTGGGGTGGAACAGGTGGTCCAGACAAAGATGACCCTTGTACATTCACCTGTAGCATGGGCGGCAGTAGTGGGCAGGCTGGCTGTGTGCTCAGGAAAGACAAGGTGTGATGAGCATCAGGGATCCTGCCCTGCACTGATTCCCTGTCGGTCCTCAGTCTTCTCACGTGCGAGTGGACGGATTCGCACAAGTTAGTCTGTATCTTCCCTCTCTGTCTCATGTTGCCTGCCAAGAGCTGGCTCATTGAAGACAAGATTTTGCTAATTCTCCATAGCAGTTTCTTAAGATTTGATTGTCATTTATGTTTTATAGGTGAGGGGGTCTCATACTCAAAGAAGTTCAAGTTTTTATTCATGATTACACACCACATCCACACCCAGTCCTTTTGTGTCCAGTATTTTTGTGTCAAGTTTTCCCAGAAAAGCATTCATTCAGCCATTCATTCATGCATGCATTCATGCATTCATTCATTCATTCCACTTATATTTACTTAATCTTCCCCACTTGCCAAGTATTGTGATAGGCTCTTGGAATAAACAATTGTGTATGTGTATAATAATTATAACAATGCCATACAGGTGTAGCAATTCCTCACAGTTTGATAAAGGCTTATAAAGTGTTTACCTCACATACCTCCTGGCATCCATCAAAATGGTACCCCATAGTTTTTTATCCTTGTTTTTGAGGTAAGCAGTCTAAGGCGGTGATCTGCACCAGGTCTCCTGGGTAGGGGACTGGTAGAAAATGAGGCTACAGTCAGGCCTTGTCTGCTACTGAGTCTGCTTCATCGTAGCAAATGATGAAGTAACTGTCGAGTATGACCACCCTCAGCCTCGTTAGTAATCACCACAATGGCACTATTTCACACCGACCAGTTTGTCTAAACCTAAAGACATATAGCAACCAGTACCTATATACATTACTAGTCAGAGTTGCAGTAAGAACAACCACTTTGAAAGACCATTTAATAGGCCTCCCCTAGCAAAGTTGAGTATACACGCAGTCTTAACATTCAGCACCATGCAAGGGAGAGTACTCGGGAATTTCTTGCATGTGTACCCAGGATGTATGCAAGGGTATTTGTAATTATGAAGCCATGTATCCATGGACAATGAAATGGGCAAACAGAATATAATGCAGTCATACAATAAAACAGTACTGATCAGTGACAATGAATGATCTAAAGCTTTACACTTTACAAAAGCTTTACAAATCTCTTATAACATTGAGTAAGCACTAGAAGGTCAGACCTTGTATAAAGATGGGTACATTTATGAAAAGGCTGAAAACAGGAAAAATGAGTATGTTGTTTACAAATATATCTCTCTATATATATATTAGTATTAAAGAAAAGAGGAAAAATTCAAGAGAGGAGTTATCTCCTATGGAGAAGAGAGGAGGGAAAGAGAAGGGAGGGAAGCAGAGGGCAGGGAGAGGAGAGGAGGGAAGTAGAGGGGAGGGAGGGGAGGAGAGGGGATGCAGGGAGGGGATGCAGGGAGGGGATGCAGGGGAGGGGAGGGAGGGAAGGGGGGAGGAGGAACATCCAGGGGTTTTAGAGGGACCAATAATACCTGATTAAACCAGGTGGTGGGCACATGGGTGTTTTACCATTATTTTTAAGGTATAAATTTATAGTGTATACCCATTCTTTTCTTAGTACATCATATGGCAGAAATTTTAAAATACAGCATGCAAGATATATGAACTGGTATTTGTGAAGCATGTGAGGAGGAGCATCCCTCCATAAAAATTTTGCTCTCAAATTCACCATTAACCCTTGGCCTTGTTTCTTCTCTGTGTCCAGAGTGTTTGTATGACAGAATAGCACAAGAAACTGTGGATGAGACTGAAATTGCACAGAGACTCTCCAAAGTCAACAAGTACATCTGTGAAAAAATCATGGATATCAATAAATCTTGTAAAAATGAAGAACGAAGGGAAGCAAAATACAATTTGCAATAAACTTTGGATTTTTCATAAAGCCTTTGTGTTTTCCTTGCGCGGCATGCGATTTGCAGGCAAAGGTGCCACCCAGGTTGCTCCCCGCCGTGCACGATGGTGTGCGGGCAGGGAGCCGGGAGGGCTCTAGGGTCGCGGCTGGCTCGGAACTTGGACTTCCTACTCCAGAGAAGACAGATGGATTTGCCGAGACTCAGGCAGCAGCAGGGTGGGCGCTGCCGGTGCCAGTTGTCATGGGGACGGAAACACCCTGCCCGTGGTGGTAAAGCGTCTCTGAGCTGCCTGTCACTTGACCAGAACTTTGAACTTATATTTTTGCCAGGAAAGAACTTCTGTCTCTTCCTCTATTTTGTTCTATAATAAAACCTCATTGATTCTTGATGTGGACAATCATTATCCTCATGTGTTTAGAATACTAAGTGTACAGTGGAGGTGATGGGTATGGTGTGCGGCCTCAAATGTCCTTTCTTTCAGAGGAGAAAACTTCAGTCTGAAGGAGCAAACATTTATAAGGGATGTGGTTGCTGTCCACAGCTCTGAAGGGCTGTCACCAAAGCAGATTTCTCCCTCACTTCAAAGGAGAGATCTTAGCCCAGTCACCTTTGCAATATGATGTGAGATTTGGTTTCCCTGATAATTTGAACCAACCTTTGTAAAGCAAAGGGCATATGTGTGTGGGCACTGGGGTGGTGTTAGGTGTGGTTCAGGATTGCGGTCAGGAAGTAGAAGCAGTGTCACCTGGTATCAGTTTGTTCATCCTGTCTTTTATCTCAAATGATCTTTCAAGTTATATAATTTTTATCGCATCCTTTCTTCAGTTACTGAGTCTCTAAGGTGTCTGGCGCACATTTTGGCAAACCATATTCTGTCTTCCTGTTGATTTGCACTTCCCTTTCTGTAATGCCTGTGAAGTAAGCATGGCATTTAGGAAAGGGCAAGGGCTTGGGACAGACACTTTAGCTTCCATGCCTCGCTCCCCTGCTTGCTGTGGGCTTAACCTAATCTTTCTGAATTGAGTTTCTGTTTTCTGTTCCATAAAAAGAAAATAATAGCTACCTTGCAGAGTTACTGTAAAGGTTAGAGATAGCATATGGAGAACGCTCAACAAATGTTGGCAATTGTTACTCATTTTTTATGCTTTTTAGTGATTGGCTGGAAAATTTTAGCCTCCACTTTTTCTGCTGGCTTATCCTTTAATTGGTGATCTGTAAACTCAGGGATACTGGGGTAATGAAGGAACTGGCTGCCACTTTGAGAACTTTTATTTCAGTAAACTAAATAAACCCTTGTAATAAGAACTATAACATGTTCATGAATAGGAGGTATAGATGAGAATTTCCCTTTATGGTATTTTCCTACCTCTGGACAAACTAGCAGTGTGATTTTGGGTTCGTTACTTAATTTCCCAGTGTCTAGAATGCCTACCTCACGTGCTGTATAGGTAAATAGTAATAACAGATTGTGTATCAGGATCTTTCCAAGTGTTTAAAGTAGGTCAGTTCCTTCATGAGGTAAGTAAAGATTTTGACACTTCATAGGTGTTCAATACGTTCTTGTTATTAAGTTCATTTTTATGGCATGGGGCAGCTTGGGCATGAGTGGTATGGAATGCATGAGAGACTTGGAAAAAAATATGCATCATTCCCGAGCTCCTTCTCTTTTCTTCCTAAGCATGGTGAAAACACAAACACCCAGAGGCTCTGTGCATTCCCTTCAGACTAAGTCAATATGGACCCTGCTTTGTAGGTGTTTTAGGTTAGTGGGGGAAATGATTATGGAAATACTTACAATAAAAACGCCATGATGAATGTGAAAGTGCTTCGTGTAATGTGTGGGGCATGCGCTAAGGACAGGACAGACCTGTGAATGACTGTAGGATCTGTTGAAGTCCTCACTTTACCACATCTAGGCATGTCAGCTGACTTCTGATAATGACCCCTAGCAGCATTATTGTGGAGATTAATCCAGATAATATAAGGAAAAGAATTCTGTAAATCACAAAGACACACAGATGTTAGTTATCGCTAGGGTACAAGGCAGAATGAAATCAGAAGTAGATGCAAAACCCAAATACATTTATAAGGGCCAATTCTGAGGGGGAAAAGAAGATCTCACCTACTAGTTTAGTGAGATGGTTTTGAGCTCCTGTTGTGGCACCTGCTATTGTGATATGAGGGCAAAACCATCAATTTTAAATCCATACGAAAGAAGAAGAGGGCTCAGAAAAGGTTAAGTATGTCTTAGGTCTTGGGGTTGTCAGAAGTGGGCCTGGACCACAATTTAGGTCTATGCAAAAATTGTCCCCTCCTGAGTGGAAAATTATGCACTGCCTAAGAATCTAGCCATGTAATCTCAGGATACATTTATAAGTGACCTTACCTAAGTAGTCAGTGGTAATCGATTTCATTAATTGAGGCCATTTTGGGGAATTGGGACCATTATAAGCATTTGTTGCACTCAAAAAAAGCATACAAAACAAAGTCATTCTATGTAGCAGAGTGTTTCTCAGACATATTCTATGTTAAGTTTGTTGAGGTGCTTGAAATACAGATTCCTGGGCTTTGGCTGGGAGAGCCTGATTGACTAGGTCTGGGATAACGTTGGAAATGTGTATTTGAACACAAGTATCACTTTGGAAAAATACCAGTTTAGCAGAAATCATTAGAAGATCGGCATTAATAAAGGAATAAGAGTGTTCCCTATGTAAACAACAGTAAGTGGTTGGTCCCAAAGTGCTTGAGGATATTTGAAATTGAGAATAAATTTCTCCAAAAACTGGGTTCTACCCTAAAACCTTGTTTACAGTCATGTTTCTGCTCCCTAAATGCCATTTAGCTGGACTTGTTGCAGCAAGTGACTTTCTGTCTAGACTCCAGTGATTTTCCCTTCACTTTTACACTTAGATTCTTTTGATGCCTGTGACAAGCCAGTGAGTCGTGTAGGGCAGGATGGTCAATACTGAATTGGCAGAACCTGAATCGATGAGGTTTGGCCACTGTCTTCAGGTGCCCTGGGCGCAGGTTCTCTGTTATCAGATGAAGCAGACAGATGGAGCTTGACTTGATTTATGAGCTGAGGAAGGTGTGTTGTTGATGGCTCTTATTTTCTCACTGGTTTCTTGCAGCATTTCTAAATTAAGACTTTATTGTAATAATGAAGAAGTAAAGACCCACTTTATAGAAATTTCTGGAAAAGCAGGAAACCCTCCATATGGCACTACTGAAAGTATTGTACTGAAGCTCAGCTAGCCTCTTTCGAAGGGTCTAGATATATATTTTACATACTTGTGACCTTAGCCTATGATCAGGTCGGTAGCCTTCCCATGTTGTTCTGTGACATTCATAAACATCAACTCTGATACCCACAAAGTGGACAGATACGAGCTATAAGTGGGCAAGCCATCTGGTCAGCCCAATGCAGTGGCCAGTCCACAGGTTTATCCTTTCATGGAGGTCATTGTCATACATTGTCATCAAGAACAAGGATGCAGTGAACTCCAGTTAGACAGCCAGTGCATTAGAGTTCACTTCTCAACTCTAGCACCTACTACTTTGCCTGAAGCAAGTTACTTCATCTTTCTTAACATTGATTGTTCATCTCCAAAGTGAAGGAAATAATATCTAACTAAGGTGCTGTTAGGAGGACTGAGAGTACAGGGCAAGAGTGGACAAAAGGCTAGCAGTGTCTGTACCGGGATGCCTCTTCTCTCCCATCCTCTCCCTATACTTTTCAGTCCTCGCCTTAGTATGCTCCTATCCTGACTGTAACTTGGTGACCTCTTACATAATGACCTTGTAATTTATAACTGGCTCTCTAGACGGCTTGTACTTCTTCCACAATTCTTGATACCTGGACATGTCCCCAGTGCATACTGACTAGGCACACTGTGTCTTCAGCTCCCCTGTCCTACCTCTAGCATGCTCTTTGCCTTCCCTTAGAATTTTAGGTTGTTTATGAAGGAAACACAGATGTTTGTGTTGTGTACATTATTCCCTTTATGTTTTCCATTCTTTTCTTGGGCTGGTTTCACCTCCATCAAGAAGGAATGGCATTTCTATTCTTCTTTACACATTGAATGGGAAAACAAATAGAGATATACAAGATTAATCAAACAAGTAATCATATAAGACAGTAGTACAACTGTGTTAGCTATCCTGTTTATACATACTTACATAATTTCCCCTTCTTTCTCTTTTCTTTTCCCACACCTCAGTTGCCCTTTACTTTTGAGCATTTTCCTTTCATTCCACAATGTCTATCATACCTCCTAGTTTTTATTCACTCTTTCAGGTTTTATACTAGTGAGAAAATACGGTGCTTACACATGCAGGTCTGATTTATTCACTCTTTAAATTATTCTACCATCTTAATTCATAAAAAGTAGTACCTCGTTATATTTGCTTTCTTATCAAGACTGTGTATCTCTGCAGAGTTTGGTTTCTTAATAGAAAAGAAAAACTAAAACCTAACCATTTCCCACAGAACCCATTTCATTTTCTGTATTTAGGTTTCCCATGGACCAGTTTGTTTACTTCAGGCATATAATTTGCACTTTTATGCCTGCAAATAGACACAGAAACTGATATTTCATCACTTCTTCTGGAGGAACTGACCGATTTCTGCCAAGCAGCTTCATAAACTCGTGGAACCTAAAGGTCAAAAGTGAACTTGGAGGCTCAGATGTCCTCCCCACTGTAACAAAGGCCTTTCCAGGCCATCTCGAATACCTCTAGTCATGACAATCATCTCCCACCCAAGAGTCCATCCAGTGATTGCCATCACTTAAAATATTCACCTATTGAGATGAAAAGCTACTTCCTGGAGACTTCTAAAGTAATTCAAATTCTCCCCTCTGAATGCAGAATGCTTCTACTCGTACAGATCCCTTTGCAGAGTTGAAGGTGGCTACGATTGCCCTTCATCAACTAATAAAGAGCTCAGATTCTATGCCACCATCTCATGTGAGGGTGAAGAAAGCTACATGGAAAAGAGAAATGACCCTGGATTTAGATGGGCCTGTGT